GTTTTCAACTCGTTTTTGCGGGTAGATATATATTTTTACTTAGTTGCATGCACACTCCATCCTGCATACATATTGTGAACAAAATAAAAGAAATAATTGTCCTAAGGGCAAACCTGTACTCAAATGTACTAAGTTAATTACCGTATATACTCGTGTATAGTTCGAGTTTTTAGGACCAAATTTTTAGGCCAAAAATTGGGGGTCGTCCTATACAAGCGTTATAGTTTTGTTAGGTTGAACCCGTGCATGATGGGAAGGGCGAGGAGCAACTTTTAGCTTCAGACATGAAAAATATTTACCATTTACTGCCAGTAAACAATGGTAACGTAAAATATGTACCAATTAGTAATGAAAAGTTGTGCAGTTCCTTCAGCAAATGAAGCTCACCAACTTACAATAGGCTAAATTACCTTACAACGCGCTTTCAGTAGTCTATGTTGAAGTTCTTAGCACAGGCTAACTTATCTTATCATATACGGTATCACAGTTCTCATTGATCTACAAAAAATACCGGTAATAAAAACCTTTTCTATTTTTCACACTTAATATAATACCCAGTAATCTATTTCAACCTCCTATTGTTTACAATGACGCATCACGCACCACCAGCTGTTGAGTGTATCAGCTAGACGGTACACGTGTTTTTCGAATCGTTTTCAGTTAAAAAACTGTTACATCACATGTATATTTTACCTTAACTGTGCCTGAATGAATATATACTCGAAAATAAATAGTAGTTTTGCTGAAACGTGATGTATTTTAATGTAAAATAGGATAAAATACATGAAGAAAACATAAGATTTTACCTAACCTTCCGATGTTCAAGAGAAGTTACTCGTTTTTTTTATAGTTTTTGGTTAAAATATTGTTATATTACAATGGTATTCTATTCATACTGTGCTTGATATAATGCATTCACGGAAATGTAATATTTTTGCTGAAATGACGTACATATTACAGTGGAAAGTGGGATAAAATCGTGACGAAAACAATGACTTTTGCTTTCTTTCATTCAAAAGATGTTACCGTAATCACTTTTCGATTGGTTTTCAGTTAAAACCTGTTGTATTACAATAATATTCTATCCTAATTAACTTGAATAAATACTACGATACCATATTTCGGAATATTTTCATTAAAATCCATCAAAATCATTTTCCTTGTCATTGTCTGCAGCACCAAACAGCTTCTCCCAGTCCTCTCCTTGATCAGGGCTAGAGGCTACGTGTTTTTCTAATCGTTTTCAGTTAAAAAACTATTACATCACACGTATATTTTACCTAACCTGCGCCTGAATGAATATATTCTCAGAAATTAATAGTAGTTTTGCTGAAACGTGATGTATTTCAATGTAAAATAGGATAAAATACATGATGAAAACAAAAGACTTTACCTAAGCTTCCGATGTTCTTGAGATGTTACTCGTTTTTTTAATAGTTTTCGGTTAAAATTCTGTTATATTACAATGATATTCTATTCATACTGTGCTTGATATAATGCATTCACGGAAACGTAATATTTTTGCTGAAATTACGTACGTATTACAGTGGAAAGTGGGATAAAATCGTGACGAAAACAATGACTTTCGCTTTCTTTCGTTCAAAAGATGTTACCGTAATCACTTTTTGAATGGTTTAGTTAAAAAACTGTTGTATTACAATAATATTCCCTCCTAATTGACTTAAATAAATACTTGAATGGAAATATACAATATTTTTGTTGAAACTACCCGCGTTTCAGTGTAAAGTGGTGCAAAGTGTCGTGTCGTAATAATAAATGGTAAACAATTTGCCTTAGGCACTCGGTGTTTCGGGCACGGCGAGCTTCAGTTTATAGGACGTAGAGCATTTTTACTGAAGGTTTTGTTGTTCCATTACCCTCAAAAACGTGGGTCGACCTATAAACGAGGAATATCATAAATTAACGATTTCTTGGTCAAAAAATCAGGGTCGACCTATAAACGAGGGGGGGTTATAGACGAGTATATACGGTACTAAAAATTTTATGTCTAGTGGAAACTATTGGGTGTATACACTACTATACTAAAGTTAATTGGTATCTTGCAAGAATTCCAGCAGTGCAAGTTATATTCTGCTAAGTCAAGTCAGTGTCTTTTTATAAGTAAAGAACTCAAACTCCGTCTATTTTATAATCCTGAGTCCATGACCCAACCTTCCTCCACTGACAACTACCCAGTAATCTCCCTGGCTAACAACACCCTTCCTCCCCCCCCCCCCCTCCAAGCCAGTAGGGGAGGCAAGATGGTGATGAGTGATAAGGATTTTTTATGATGAAAGTGGTTTTAGGCTTAAAGAGTTTCTCTTATAAAATGTCACAGACTTGACTTAGAAGAATATAACTTACAATTTTTGAATTCTTGCTGGATAGCGATTATTTTGAGTACAGTGGATCCTCGGTTAACAAACACAGTTCGTTCCAGAAGGTCGTTCGTTAACTGAAACCATTGTTTCAATGGGATTTTGGGTAATTGGTTCTAGCTCACCGAAAGTTACATACAAAGTAAAAATAAATGCAGTAAAGTACACTTACTTTGAGGTGTGTATATAGAAGGCGACTGGTTGATGATGGTGATGATGATGATGGGAATTAGAATGGGGGTGGAGGAGAAGGGAGAAGAGAAGGCAGTGGGGGTGGAAGAGAAATCACCCCATGCTTCATGCCATCATTTTACCCATAAAATTTTAAGTTCACTAGGTGTAATTCAAGATTATTTTCTTTAAATCAACACTGCACTGCACTATATATTGTCAATATGTAAAATAAATTTCAGAATGACCAATAATTGTACTGTAAAAACATAAAAATAGTTTATGTTCAAGAAAGCTACAAGCAAGATGTTACCTCCACTGACCAGAGATACAAACTGACGCCTTTGTGGGCGAGTCAAGTGGCTGTTGGGCGTACCAAAAACTAGTTTCCTGTACTCCAATTATGTTAAATAAGTATTAAAATGACTAAAAAATTTAAAATACAACTTGGAAAATTATTGAATAGTACAACCTTCTTGATATTTACTCAAATGGGAACGAATTTAAGCCTTAGAACCGATTACTGTATTGGCGGACTAATATTCCAGCTGGTGAGCAAGCGAAAACATGTTGATCATGATTTCGTAAAAATTTCATTAACCGAATTGAAGATTCTTATGGAAGGTAACTCGTTAACTGAGGCATTCATTAACCGAGGGATCACTGTATAAACATCTTATAGTTTGCACAAGAGAAAAAGTTTAGTCCTTAAGGTTTGTACATTTGAGTACAAATTGAGTACAGTCTGTATAACTAACCCCCAGTGGTCAGGATAATATGTACTATATTTTTTTTTATATCATTATTCATCGTTTTTACACATTTAGTACATTCCCGGAAGATTCGGACAATCGCATTTTTCGGACCTGTGGTCCTCCCTTTCAGCCCGGATCTTTGAGGGGTTCACTCTATTTTAATGAAAGAAAGGACTTACTCCTTCCCTGTGTGGTCTATTCTCTTTTTCAGAGCATGCCTCTTCTTACAGAGGGACTATTCCTGTATACGCTGATGGCACTAAGTCGGATGAAGAGGTGTGTTTTGGGGTGGTCTTTCCTGATTTCTGTCATGGCAGTAGTCTCTCTATTATAGCATCTATTTTTACTGAAGAGCTTTTGGGTATATTGTTGCCCTCAAGATTATTTTTACCCAATCTCGTAATGATTTTAAAATTTTTAGTGATTCTCGTAGTGCTCTCCAGGCCTTAGCTAATGGTGTCATCACTAAATCGTATATTTATAGATATTTTTCAGTGGCTGTTTCTCATCCGACATCGGGGTCAGAAAGTTGGTATTTGCTGGGTTCCGGTCCATGTGGAGGAGAAGGGGAATGAGCGTGTTGATGCTGTGGCAAAGGCAGCTGTTTCTCGCCCTATGGCACATCATTCCCCTCTACCTGCCTCTGATATGAAACCAGTACTAGAGGTGCCATCCACTTAAGTTGGAAATGCAGGTGGAATGTTATTGGAGCAAACAAGCTCCATGACATCCACTCTGGGGATATCAGGGACTGCCACCCCGCCAAGAGACTGCTTTGGCCAGCCTCCGCATTGGCAACACACGGCTGACCCACTGCCTAGTCCCACTGATTATATTATTCGACAGCTCCTGGTGGATTGCCTCAGTCTCAGAGATCTTCGTTGTAAGGACCTTTCCTGGTGCCGGGGTGAGATGGGTCTTACTGTCTCTCTTTGGTGCTGGGTGGAGGAGTGGTTAACATGGGAGGGGACATTCCTTTGTGGAAGAAGCCAGCCCTGTACACAAGCTTTGAGTTTTATTTATTTATGTTTAAATAGTTTTTATGAAATATCTTTGTTGGGAATTATTTATCTTTTTACCTTACATTATTTGATTTTAGTCTTTTAATCCCTGATTTTTCATTTGCCAACATATGACCTAAGCTGATGTATCACCAAGGATGTACAGCTCCTCCCCGACTTACGACCTACTCGACTTACGACCACCCGCACTTACGACCTGCCTCAGTCGTACCAAAATTTGGTCAAATTACGTATTTTCGAGTCCCAAAGTCAGTACACAGACAAAATTTTCGTTTATAATTCACTTTAAAATGGCTGGCAAGCTTGAAAGTGAGAGTTTTGTGGTGCTGAGAAGAAAAAGAGACACCCATTTTAGATTTTCTATGTACTATTTAAGCATTTCCGACTTACGACCATTTCGACTTACGACCTGGATGTCGGTCCCTAACCCCGTCGTAAATGGGGGAGGAGCTGTAATTACTACAATCAATCAATCAGTCAATCAGTCCTGTATATTATACATACAGTATGCCATATCCTGTAAACTACACATTTACTAATTGTCAAGTAATTGTACATTCACCATAATTATCTCCTGGAAACTATTTATATAAAAATTTACTTGCATATAACTATGGAACTAGTGTAGTGTATTTATAGAAGGGAAAATTTAATATACATTTATTTCTCAACAGTTGGCTCACCACACACCTGGCCATCAGTGCTGGCAATGTTAGCTTGGCTAGTGGATGTGGCTGTCATATATGAATCCATTGACCCTTTAATCTACGCTTTTCCAAGTGACTTTGACTCGGACGTGAATATCCCCATGGCCAAATTTTCCACATTTGCAAAACTTGTCAAATGTGAAATACATTCTGATGAAGCTGAGAAATGCTTTGAGGTATGTCTCATAATATTTTTAGCTTTTGTTTTTCACTATTCCTTCTATGGTGTTACCTCAATACTGAACTTCTATATACTGTACACTGAAATTCACTGTATACTGAACTGCTCCTGAGATTCTAGTATTACCTCTATACTGAACCCCTCCTCATATATTCAAATATAATACAGGTACTGTAATGCAATGCTTTAATATGAAAAAAATTCTACACTCAACCCCAGATAGGTCATTCTATTGTACAGGTATTAAATTCCTGGTACAGGGGATGCTTGTTATCTGCAGTCGGCCCTTAACATATGCGGGTTTAACTTACACGGATTTGCAAATACGTGGATTGCCGCTGGAGGAATATACATTCAAAGGAATATACATAATTCAAATCGCGTGCGACACACACACACACACACACACACACACACACACACACACACACACACACACACACACACACACACACACACACACACACACACACACACACACACACACACACACCACACACACACCACACCACACACACACACACACACACACCACACCACACACACCACACCACACACACACCACACACACACACACCACACACACACACACACCACACACACACACACACACACCACACACACACACACACACACACACACACACACACACACACACACACACACACACACACACACACACACACACACACACACACACACACACACACACACCACACACACACACACACACACACAGAATCATGCTCGGCGCAGAATACTCCGGCTACACCAACGCTCTCTCCACCCTGGAAATGCCATCCTTCAGTGACCTCCACCACCAAGCACTGGAAAGGTTTGGCAGCCAACTAATGCACCACCCTTGTCATCGCCACCTCCTGCCACCGGCAGCCCACCACCCACCTCGCACAGTCCGCCACTACAACAAAATTCAGCCCATAAGAGCCCGCACCGATAGATATAAGAATAGCACCATCCCATCTATTGTTAAAATAATAAACAACTCCTGATTTATGTACTGTACAGCCTTGTAAATGTATTCAATGCATATTATATCATTATGTCTAAATCAAATGTAAGTCTGTATATTTTCAGCCACCGGCTGCAACTCTATTAATAAACCGTTTATTATTATTATTACACACATACATCGCCCGCGCCACCCCGCGTTCCCGCGCTCCCTCAGTCAGTCAGTCTCGCTGTAACCACGCTTGTGTTGACATCAGCATTGTAGTTGCAAAAATATTAAATTTCCGTGAATATATTATATCAAGCACAGTATGAATAGAATATCACTAATATAACAGTATTTTAACCGAAAACTATTAATAAAACGAGTAACATATCTTGAACATCAGAAGGTTAGATAAAGTCTTGTTTTCATGTAGTTTATCCTAATTTACATTGAAATACATTACATTTCAGCTAAACTACTATTTATTTCTGAGAACATGGAAATGTGATATTTTTGCTGAAATGACATACGTATTACAGTGGAAAGTGATGAAAGTAATGACTTTCGCTTTCTTTCGTTCAAAAGATGTTACCGTAATCGCTTTTCGAATGGTTTTCAGTTAAAAAACTGTTGTATTACAATAATATTCTATCCTAATTCACTTGTGATGCAACAATTTTTTAACTGAAAACCATTCGAAAAGTGATTACGGTTACATCTTTGGAACGAAAGAAAGCGAAAGTCATTGTTTTCGTCACGATTTTATCCCACTTTCCACTGTAATACGTACGTCATTTCAGCAAAAATATTACATTTCCGTGAATGTATTATATCAAGCACAGTATGAATAGAATATCATTGTAATATAACAGTACAGTAGTACCCGGCTTAACGCGGTCAATAAAACCCACAGGGTACCGTGTTAAGTGAAAACCGCGCTAAGTGAACAACAGAACATATGGGATTAATTCCAATAGAAACTGGCCCGATCCCCAAACTCCACTTTTTCCCACACAATACCTATGTTCTAGTAAAAATAACATCTTAATTTTATGATGGTACATGCACACAATTAATACTTAAGAGAAATACAGTTGCCAAGTTAATGTCCATTCAAATAATGGACTCAACTCCCTCCCCCTCTTCTCACACTACACTGCTGGCTCTTCCCTCTCTGAGAAATTTTTGGGGGAAAACCACTAAATTTTACTAAATAATACCTCAAACTAAAGTTAGGATAATACAATTGACATTGCTGGATTCCTTGTAAGACCAGGAATATTTTGAATATAAATGTCATATATTTTGCACAAAAGATAACATATTTACTGAGAGTAAACATTATATCTAAAATTTGTATGTCTAATGCAAAATCTATGATGTTTATATTCAAAATGATCACCAAATTGTAAGAATTCCAGCAATGTAAATTATATTCTGGCTGGGTAATTTGTATGAATTTTATGAGCTAAAACAAATATCTTCAGTTAATAAAAAAAAATATTCTTCAAGACACTATCTGTCAATCAAAGTACCCCACCTTGCCTCCCCCCCTCTTCCAACCGCATGGTCAGTCCCAACCCTCCCCCCCACCCCCCACCAATCCTCCCTTCAAGAGATGTTGGGTGAAAAAACTAAATTTTAACATTTTGTATTAAATAATACCTCAGATTAAAGTTAGGATAATATAATTGACATTGCTGGATTCCTTGTAAGACCAGGAATATTTTGAATACAAATGTCATATATTTTGCACAAAAAATAACATATTTACTCAGAGTAAACATTATATCTAAAATTTGTATGTCTAATGCAAAATCTATGATGTTTATATTCAAAATGATCACCAAATTGTAAGAATTCCAGCAATGTAAATTATATTCTGACCGGGTAATTTGTATGAATTTTATGAGCTAAAACAAATATCTTCAGTTAATAAAAAAAAAAAATATTCTTCAAACAGTAACAGATGGTCGGTCGGTCCCTCACTCCCCCCCACCAACCTTGTCCCTACCAGATGTGTGGGAAAACCAGAATATTTACCTTTTTAGTAATAAATAATACCTCAAACTAAAGTTAGGATAATATAATTGACATTGCTGGATTCCTTGTAAGACCAGGAATATTTTGAATACAAATGTCATATATTTTGTACAAAAAATAACATATTTACTCAGAGTAAACATTATATCTAAAATTTGTATGTCTTATGCAAAATCTATGATGTATATTCAAAATGATCATCATATTGTAAGAATTCCAGCAATGTAAATTATATTCTGGCCGGGTAATTTGTATGAATTTTATGAGCTAAAACAGGCAGTCAGGCAGGGTGGCGGGTGGGGGGGGTGGGGCGAATCCAAAAATAGCTCTCGAGCCAGACACTCACCGCGTATAAGTGGAAAAAACCCGCGTTAAGTGAAAGTTATGCTCTGGCGAGGCACCGTGTATACGGTAAAACGCGCTAAGCGAAACCGCGTTAAGCGGGGTAATACTGTATTTTAACCGAAAACTATTAAAAAAATGAATAACATCTCTTGAACATCGGAAGTTTAGGTAAAGTCTTTTGTTTTCGTCATGTATTTTATCCTGTTTTACATTGAAATACCCGTACATCACGTTTCAGCAAAACTACTATTTATTTCTGAGAATATATTCATTCAGGCGCAGTTTAGGTAAAATATACATGTGATGTAACAGTTTTTTAACTGAAAACGATTCGAAAAACACGTACCCTCTAGCCCTGTTCAAGGAGAAGACTGGGAGGAGCTGTTTGGTGCTGAAGACGATGACAAGGAAAATGATTTTGATGGATTTTAATGAAAATATTCAGAAATATGGTATCGTAGTATTTATTCAAGTGAATTAGGATAGAATTTTATTGTAATACAACAGTTTTTTAACTGAAAACCATTCGAAAAGCGATTACGGTAAAATCTTTTGAACAACGAAAGAAAGCGAAAGTCATTGTTTTCGTCATGATTTTATCCCACTTTCCACTGTAATACGTATGTCATTTCAGCAAAAATATTACATTTCCATATTTATTTCTGAGAATTTACTCATTCAGTCACAGTTAAGGTAAAATATACTTTTGATGTAATATTTTAATGAAAATACCCGGTATTTAGAAATACGGTATCATAGTTTTCTTTTGTTTCAAATTTAATTAACAAAGATTGATGTTTCATATGTAATGAACAAAAATTTATGTATCTATAAATAAACTTTAAAAAATGAATACTTTATGTTTTACTTCGTCCTGTGCTACCATACCATGCATTTGGCTACTTTGGGCTTGCTATGATGACGCAAGAGATCTGCCCTGGCAACTGTACCGACACTCACAGCTGGTGGTGCGTCGTTTCCATTGTTTACTGGTAGTTACAGGTTAATATTTTTCAACCTAACGAAAGTATTACCCGTTTAGAGGTCGACCCCCAATTTTTTGCCAAAAAATTTGGTCTTAAAACTCGAACTGCACACAGGTATATATGGTAAATAAGGACATGGGGGGCCATGGGTGTTTTTAAGGGGGGGCAGCAAAAATACGCGGATTTTTAACATTCACGGGTATCTCTGTTACTTAACCCCCGCGTATGTTAAGGGCCGACTGTAATGGAAATACAGTGGTCCCTTGGTTAACGAACACAATTTGTTACAGAAGGTCGTTCGTTAACCGAAACCATTATTTCAATGGGATTTTGGGTAATTGGTTCCAGCTTACCGAAAATTACGTACAGAGTAAAAAAAATGCAGGAAAGTACGCTTACTTTGAGGTGTGTATGTAGAAGGCTCCTGGTTGATGATGATGATGATGATGGGAATTAGAAGTGGGGGTGGAGGAGAAGGGAGAAGAGAAGTGGGGGTGGAAGAGAAATCACCCCATGCCTGATGCCCTCATTTCACCCATAAAATTTTAAGTTCACTAGGTGTAATTCAAGTTTATTTTTAAATCAACACTGCACTGCACTATATATTGTCAATATGTTAAATAAATTTCAGAATGACCAATAATTGTACTGTAAACATGTAAAAAT